GCTTTAAGTTTTATGGAACCCTGGTCATTTATACCATCCATAGGCCATAGCATAATTAGTAATTTAGGTTGACTGCTGACTAGTAGCTCCAAGCAAGATGTAAAATTAGTTTTAGTATTGCTTCATACTTCTACAAAAAAATAAATTAATTTGCCTATTCCTTCTTAAAAGAATTATGAATTTGTCTATTTGTGTTACAACCTCCCAAGTATGAGGAGGTCAATTGCTAAGTGATGTTTAGGACAGTTGGCTAATTTGTGAACTAATTACGGAAAGAAAAAGAAATAGAGAATATCATGAACTACGAACAGTAAGAAACTAAGAATCCTTTTTTCAAATTGTTCGTTCGCAAAGTTTTGTACTTCTCCTACAGTGAGATCCTCGTTCCTAAGTACATCTTCACAAAAGATATGGGAATTTTTTCACCCTATATTACATTTGAAGCCAATGTCCGTCAAGCTGGAGGACTTCTAGGTCATTAATATGCACCATCTCAGGGATACTTAGTGATGGCAAACAAAAAAAAGGAAAAGCTTTCATAAAATCTGTATACTGTTGGAATTTATACTTATATCTTTCTCCAACTATGGAATTACACCCATGTTATGAACCATCAATGTCATGTCGCTAGGTTTTAATATTGATATAATGCTCCAAATGGATTTTGTCAGGAAATCTATTTAAAATTTTATTCCTCTCAACCAAAATTTGTGTACCATCTTACCACTCAAGAAAAATGGAACAATGTGATATTGTACTTTGGAGTCGTCTTAAAATTTCCACTTTAAACTTAAGAAATCTTCTGTTTCCTACGTTTTATGAAGAAGTTTACCATCTAGGATATCACTAATAGACTATATGAGAAGTTGACTATTTGTAAATAGTGCACCACAGATCAAAACTCTAGCAGTACTAAAGCAGCATTTGAAAATTATTTTCGTTTGTATGCCCACCAAGAACTCATCGGCCTCTTTTTTCTATTGGGAATAGGAACCTGACAGGCATAGAAATCATGAAGGAACCAGATTATATTTAAGTTGCATCACACTGTTCCTTTAACCAAAATAATTCACGTTTCCATAAGAACAGTTTGCCCAATGAAACAATGGAAGCTCAGTGTTGAGAGCTAGTTGTTCTTTGTAATTTTGGGAAATTTGGGATTGTCTTGCTAGAAATGTGAACTAGTTGTTCTTTGATAATTTGGGAAATTAGGGATTGTCGATTGCTAGAAACATTAATTGAGCTAGGTGATTTTCTTGTTTTCTTCTTTTGCAAGTTTGATGTATTCATATCTGCTGTATATCAATGACAATCTTCAACTTCACCTCTCTCTGAGTTCTCAGCAGTTTGGGTACTATGAAGTCATTCAAATTTGTGGTTGAATTTTCACTTTAGTTGCACTCACCATTTACATAATAGTACATCTTTTCAATTTATTTATACTGCAGACCTTAAGGAAAGGCTTAAAGAAGTTGGTAATAACGAGAGGAAGAAGTTGAAGATCATGCGTGGCTTTTCGTTTTGGTTACAGGTTAGTGGCTCATCTCAGCCCTATTTATGGAGAATAGATTGATGGTTTTCTTTCGGCATGTGCTTTTGATATGTGTATGTCCATCTGTTGCTAATCAATGAAAGAAGGTTGTTGGTCAAAAGATATTGTTGATCTATGTTTTAAATACAAGGATTAAAGCTATATCAGAAACTAATTGCTAGTTCGAATTTGATTTTCTTCATAGCATTTTCTTTCTAACTGTCCAGAAAAAACGATTTTCTTGAGCCGAGGGTCTATTGGAAACAACCTCTCTACCTCACGAAGGTAGGGATAAGGTCTGCGTACACCCACTCTCTCCAAACCCCCAATTGTGAGACTATACTGGTCATGTTGTTGTAGTTTGAATTTGAATTCTTGAAAAAAAAAGTAACACTGCAATCATTTTATTAACAACATTAACAAAAGAATGATGATGTTGATACTTTATCCAAAAAAGAAAGAAAAAAAAGGCATAAAACTTTGCCTCAACTGACAACTAAACAATCCAACTTTGAGAATGCACATCTAAACATCTCAACTCGTCCCTGTTGTGTCTCGTGGACACCCGACACTCACGTGACACATAAATTTTGGAGGTGTCTAGATGATCATTTTGTAAGTTGGAGTTTTCGACTGATACAGTGGAGACGAGTTGACGTGTCTAGATGTGCATCCTTAGAGTTGGAGTGTCCAATTGCCAGTTGAGGCCAAGTTAAAGTGTCTATCCATATTTATGCCAAAAAAGAATGATGTTGATTTGATCAGGGGGCAATCAGCAAGTACCTGATCACCTCACTTTATGAGAAGTAGCTATCGCTCTGTTTAAGTTTTGTTTGAGCTAGTTACCTATGCATTTTTACTAAAATACGTAAGAATTAAATCGATATCGAATTTAGAACTAGCAAAAGATATAAAAGGGCATACCATGAGTTGTGCTTTTGTAGCTAATGTCAGTTTCATCGTCTTCATTTTTTTTCCCTCCAAATGATCAATTTCAGTAACTTAAAAGTAAGGATGTTTTCTTCGTTATAATTAGAACTACGTTTCAGAGAAACACTCAGTGTGTTAATATGAGACGACAAAATCATGCGACTCTTTTGCATCTTGTCCTAGTTCTGCAGTGACCTAAGTTTAAATGTTCAAGTGATTCACATAATCAAGACTATTTTGGTGATTGAGGACTTCTTCCTGTTTGAGCTTCCAAAATACTGAAATTATTATATTCATATACTGGTTAAATATGAGGATTATGAGTTACATGAGCGTTGATCCCATTTGGCTAGTAAACAGAGTTTCATGATGAGTGATCAATGATTTAAATCCCATTCTACTTTTTAGTCGGCAACCTGCTTTTCACTATGAAATGTATATTGCATGTATGGTGATAATATGAAATGAGCTTAAATGTAGAAGTGAGATTCATATAGCCGACCCCAACTTGTTCAAGGACTGAGACATAGTTATTATTGTTCTATTTATTGCATCCTAGTTGTTTATAGACAAGTTTTAGTAACGTACTTTCTCATTTGGTGTTTTGCTAGAATCTCACTAATGCAGGAGCCTTCAAACCTTGGAACGATACTGAGTTTCTTGCACGGGTACGTGAATCTAGTTAAGAAGTGATGCACTTCCAGTCCAACTTTTTCCGATTGATCACTCAAACACAGCCACTGGAACATGTATATGATGTATGTTGTGGTGAAGACTGAAATCATGGACTCCATTTTATAAAAAATCAGTATATCATACAGGAAAGCAAACGTAGACGCGGATCATCTTGTGAATTTTCTGCATAGCCGCGGAACTTTTTGTTTCTTATTTTTGTGATACTTCCTAGCTTTCCCTCCTGTCCTTATTTTTTGAAGGCCCTGGGAATTTTGTACATTCTCAAACAAGGATGTAAATGGAGTTGATTCAGTGTATGCAAAAGTTTGCATATTAGTCTTTTTTGGACTAATTTTTCCTTTGTAAGGTGGCAAGGAGAATATCATAGTTCTGGGAATGGAGTCGCCTTTAGTAGGAAAGGATGTTAATAGCGCCACTTATGTAATTGCCCCTTGTTAATATCGCGATTTTGAAAAAGATCTACAAGCATTGACCCTTTGGGGTGGCCCAGTGGTTTGGGCTTGGGACTTTCATGTTGGGGGTTTCAAGTTTGAAACCCCTTGCCAGCGAAAACAAGGGGTTTCTCGGTTGAGCTCATCGCACCGGGCTTGCCTAGTGCGTGTTACCTCTCCTATGTGGTTTGTGAGCTATTGCATAAGAGCGGGGATTATACCCTGTGCGCACCTAAAGAATAGCGGCTTTGGGTTTCCCTTTTCATTGAAAAACAAAAAAGATATACAAGCATTTGGACAAAATAGAATTAGAATTTTTTGATTAGTTACTAACAATTTATTGGAAGAGGAATTTTGGAGTTGTCTTAGTGTGCCTTATTAGAGAAAATTGTTCAATTTAATCATCTACGTATAACCGATCACAACTGTATATTCAATTCAAACTTTATAAATTTTATTTAAAAAAATGAAAAATATTTGAAATTTATGGTCGCCTATTTAATATTTGCATTATAATCTAACGAACCAAATTATTTATTTTGATTTCTCAACCCTGTTGTTTGTTGAATCATACCTTCTACTAACGTCGGCTTATTTGTCAGTCGTGTCGAATTGTTGTTCAATTGAAAACAATGAAATAATCCGATTTATTTTTATATTGCACATAGTATATATCTTAACTCGAACGTCCTTTTGACCATTGCAACATTATAATTATCTTTTGCTTCTTTAAAATTCCGTTTACGATAGTTACATGATAACTATCAGAACATCGTTGTTAAAGAAAAAGTAGGAGAGTGTCGAGCATGATTTACGTGAAGCTGAATCAAATTCCTTTTTGGTGTTCTCATTGTTATCCGATCCGTTGTGGTTCAAATAAATTCTTACTTGCATCCAAAATGTCACGTACAATACAATTATGTTTCTTAAGATTCTGTTTACGACAATTACATGATAACTATGAGAACATCGTTGTTAAAGAGAAAGTAGGAGAGTGGCTAAGCGTGACTTTATATGGAGCTAAATTAGATTCCTTTTCGGTGTTCTCGTTGTTTTGTTCCGTCCGTTGTGGTTCAAATAAATTCTTACTTGCATCCAAAATGTCACGAACAATCCAATTTACTTCTTAAGATTCAGTTTATGACAGTTACATGATAACTATCGAAACATCGAGTACATTTATGTGGAGTTGAATCAAATTCTTTTTTTCAGTGTTCTCATTGTTATTCGGTCTATTATGGTTCGAATACATTTTCACTAGCATACAAAATGTCACATACAATTTTATCATATCAAAGCTCGAACTCAAAAACTCGGGATTACGAAGTATTCCTTTCTTGACTTAGATGAGTAATTTTGAGTCAAAAAGGAAAAAAGAATAAGATGCTTGGCCACCCACTATGTACCCTTTAGGAATTTTTGGACCATTATAATAACACCTCTTTGCCTTCTCCATTTTCTCACACACACACACACTAAAAAAAAGCTCTGTGAATTAATCGATAATGGCGGATCAGCTCACTGACGATCAGATCTCGGAGTTCAAAGAAGCTTTTAGCCTATTCGACAAGGATGGAGATGGTCTCTTCCTTTTCCCTTTTATGACTTTTGTTTTTACCTCAGATCCAATCGTTGAATTTTTCATTTTTTATCCTCCAAATTGTTGAACAGTGTTTTGATCTATGATTTGATGTTGATGTGCTGCTAATTGTCGTGTTCCGTGTTGGGTAGATTCATTTTTTGTGTTTGGATTTGATCTGATGAATTTATTTGTGAAACTGACAGATTCTGAGTCCAGTGTGTTGAATTCTAATGGTTAATGTTGCTTTCGATTGACAGTGCTGTGATCTATGATTTGATGTTGATGTGTTACTGATAAGAGGTTTGTTTATTAAGGGAATATTGTTGGATTTGGTGTTTTATTCTTTGTTATGCTGTTTTGATAGAAATGGATATGAAGATGGGTTTATGTTAAACTGGTAGCTTCTAGAATTTGGATTGACAGTTGTTTTGATACATGATTTGATGTTGATGTGCAAACTATGAGATTTGTGTTCATTACGGGGAAATTCTGGGATTCGGTGTTTGATCCTTGGACATGCTGTTTCTTTAGCTGGGTAGTTTCAATTTGTGTTTGGATTTGGTTTTTGATGGATCCATTGTGAAGCTGGTGGCTTCTAGATCCTTTTTTTCTTTTGATAATGGTGGTATTGGGTTAGTTTGCACGCATTTCGACTAATTCATTAGGTACTTTTTACCTCCGCCACAAGTACTGGTTAAGTGGGAAGAAATCACCTATTGTTTTTACCTCCGCTGGGATTTGAACCAACTCACTGCATTGACAAATGACAACTAGGCGATACCCTTGGGTGCAAAAGAAATTGGTGGCTTCTAGATTTTGGGTCAATGTGTTGAGTTCTTTGGCTGATATTTCTTGGTAGTTAGGGAATTTGTTTGTTTGGCAAGTTTTGAAAAACGTGTTTTTGGATGTTGCATTTTTCTTGATTATATCAAGTTATATAAGTCAATTGCCTTTTTTTTTTTTTCTTTCTATTTGTGGATTTACCTAGTTTATCATGATATCTTTGACTTTATTTCTTGATGGATTGTCTCCATTTTGTTCAATGTGGTAATGTGTTTGTGATGGTGGTTTTCACAACCTTCCCATTCATTGCTTTATCATGGGAGGGAAAGTGCGTTCAAGTCTATAGATGTGCTTGAGAAACACCCAAGTTTGTAATTATATGTATGTAACTATAAACATCCACTGGCTGGTAGTATGCCATTGGAATATAGCAGTAATAAGTAAAATATAGTGGTAGCAAGAGTAAGTACTCGAATATGAGTAGCTACTGCCTTTTGAAATAGTTGATGCTTTTAGATGAATGGAATTCAAGTGATTTTGCCAATTTTATTTCTGTTCTGTTTGGAAATGAGTTTCCATTTGATCTTCCTTATATCTGGAGATTGATGCGTAAAATTCTTATTAATGATGGTTAACTGTATTCCTCATTGTTGGGATCATTCATAGGCTTCTTATATCTGGAGATCGACTCCTAGAATTCTTATTAATGATGGTTAACTGTCTTGTGATGAAACTTGTGTTTCTGTTTCTCCTTTTCTTACATTCTGAATGGAGGAGTGAGGTAACCGGTCCCAACTTGTTTGGGATTGAGGCTTCCGTATTGTTGTTGAAGCCTTTTCCCATCTATACATAAAGAAAAACCAAAAAGAGGCCGGGGGGGGGGGGGGGGGAGGGATGTGAATTGCTAGTTGTAAGTGTTCGTAACTTGTAAGTTCTTAAAACTTAACATGTCCAATAACTATGTGCAACTGTGCTGCAGGTTGCATCACAACTAAGGAGCTTGGAACTGTGATGCGGTCATTGGGGCAGAACCCAACTGAGGCTGAGCTTCAAGACATGATCAATGAAGTTGATGCTGATGGGAATGGGACCATTGACTTCCCTGAGTTCCTTAACCTGATGGCTCGCAAGATGAAGGACACTGATTCCGAGGAGGAGCTCAAGGAAGCTTTTAGAGTGTTTGACAAGGATCAGAATGGCTTTATCTCTGCTGCTGAGCTTCGCCATGTCATGACTAACCTAGGTGAGAAGCTTACAGACGAAGAGGTTGATGAGATGATTCGTGAAGCTGACGTGGATGGAGACGGACAGATCAACTATGACGAGTTCGTCAAGGTCATGATGGCCAAGTGAGAATTGATCAACTCATCTTAATCTTTAAAATTGGAAGTACAACATAAAAGGCAAAAAAAAGGAACGGCAGATAAGTTTGATGAGGTTTCTGTTTCCGGTTAGGATGTGTTCTTTGACATTATTAGCTTTGTTTTGGTGCTTGCCTGTTCTCCTAATTGCATTGTTTTGTAGTGCTGTTCTTTGGTATATGCTTTTCTGCTCTATTCCCATTTTAGTAGTTTGGTTGTTAGTAACTCTTCAACATTTGGTATTCAAACTTTTCTACAATTAGGGACCTTGAATGTCCTTTTTAGAAACCTTTTGATTGAGTAATTTCATTGGTATTTCATATTCTTGCATTTGTTTGTTTTGCCTTTTTAACTCTGGTGTTTACTTGCTCTTTATGGTCTAAGAATATTTGAGTTTCGAGGGACTTGTGTCACTTGTGTCGTAGGTCACAAGTTCGACTCTTGTGCCAAGCGATCCAAGCATAATGTGTAAGTGAAGAAGGATAGGGGGTTGAGCCCATTGTTCCTCAGTCTCGAAGGCTATGGTTTCATGAAGTGAAAGGTTGCGGAATGAAGTTCAAAATTGTCTGCCAAAGGTGCTAGCGCGTACCTTGGGGTGATCATCACCACTTGTATCTCGGGACAGTGGAACGTGTAACCCGCCTGCTTCTAGTTTTCGTTCTCGCTTGATGATATCACTGAACTTTTTACATGCCTTCTACTAATATCACTTCCATAATTCTCTTTTTCCCTTCTATCTTCTTCAATCTCGTCCTCTTTCTTTTTATTCAAACAAATCTCCTCTGTCCAAATGCCATTTTCAAGGTGTATAGAATCTAGTTCTGAGGAAGGGAGCGTTGGAGCAATGATTTAGTTATCTTCGTATGGTATGTAGGTCACCGGTTCAAGTTGTGAAATCAATCATTAATGGCTGCGTATATCACACTTCTTGGATTGCGGCCTTTCTTTGAATCATGCGTTTACGCGGCAGTCCTTGATGTTTGAGTCATGCCAGGTTGTTTGCATTAACTTCTTTGGAGTGGTTCTTCCTTGAGCCTTACATTAAAGTGGGATTTTTTGTGCATCGAGCTATCATTTTCGCTTGATTTTTCGGTTTGAGGCATAGTTAATTATTGCAAGATATCTGATAAAGTGATAAAATCTTTAGAAAAAAAAAGTTGATTTTATTCAGTTTAGCTTATTCTCAACGCATAACTAATTGGATTTGACTTTTCACTACTTTTTGGAATAAATATATGTTATTCCCATTTAGTTGGGTTCTCTTGAGGGGGAATACTCTTTTTTTTTTTTTTTTTTTTTTTTTACAGAAAATCAATAAGAAAAAAATCACACATGATTTTCTCAAATAAAAAAAATAGAGAAATTTTTGGTAGGATAATTGTTTCTTTCCATATTTAACATTAAAGACTTATTAGAAAAGAAAGAACTATTCGTCCAGTGGTCATTAAAATCGTGCACGTGATGTGTGAGTTAGATACACGTTATAATCCAAAAGTTATCTCAAATAAAAGTTTAATATTTAACTTATTTTCTCTCATTTATATTTTAGTATGAAAATGGCATTAAAGTTAAATGAGAAAACATGATTAATGAAGATTCATTGACTGAGCTAACTTGTTTGTAGACATAACTATAGTTATTGTATTTAAGTTACAAATAGTAGAAGGGTTGATTTATTATCTATTGAATTTTGAATCGTAAAATATTTATTGATGTGCAAATAATAGAATAGATATATAGATTATAGGCTGGTCAATCAAACAATCTTCGTCAGAAAAATATCCTATCTCTATAAAGAATAATATTGTGTATATTGGTCAAAGTTTTAACTTCTAACTCCTCAATTCACATTTAGTGTTGCTTTGATTTTTACTATACACCTAATGTTTTCTAAAATCTTTGTAAATTTTTTCATAAGTTTCGTGGTTTAAATTCGCCATTTATATATCGACTACAGGAGGCGAATGAAGAAGGTACAAAGTACAAGTGTGAAACCAATTTCACAGAGCAATGGAAGAAAAGGCCGGAAGAGAGACCGATGCATAATCCTTTGATCCAAAGAAGGTTCTCTTTGGGATCGTTTGGTTTGGGAACTAAGTTATTTCAAAATTATAGTTCGTGAACTGGTTTATTCCACTTGAAAGGTAGGTTGAAATAACACCAAATTTGATGGGATACTTAAATTAAATTTGTAATTGAATTTATACTTTGTTTGATCGAGGTGACTAAACGAAGTGCAAATTTAATTTCAAACTTAATTCTGAAATATCCTATCTTATTCCATGAACCAAATGACTTGTATTCTTACTGTTGAAAAAAAAGAGATTATTATAAGTAGCTTTGTGGGTCTTTAATTTTCTTATTAGCTTATTGTATAATGTACTAGCCTTCAAAATTATTAAATAAAATTATAATGTTATAACTGCTTGAATTTTGCACCAGTCATCCTTGTAATATCCTCATTTTCACTTTCTTTTTTTCTTTTTTTAAGCACCAAAAACAAAGAAAATATAACATATTATATTATATAGAAATAAAGAGACATCTTAAATATCCAAATGATTCATAGTAATTTTATCTCGACACAGGAGAGTGTTGGAGCAACGATTTATTTGTATTTGTATGATATAAGATATAAGTTTAAGTGATGAAACTGTCAAATAATTCCTCCTCGAGTCTTAGTAGTATTCTTTTCATGCATCGAGCTATTATTTTTTCTGTAGGGAAGCATAGTAATTGCACTTTTAAAATATAAAATACAAAAAATATTTTTACGAAAATTGTTTTTTTTTCTATTAATAAAATAATTAAAAACGGACGTATATAAGAATAGAAAAATCTAAAAAAGAAGTTAGTTAGTTAGTTCAAGGCAGTGTTATTTTCATGATGCTTCCCTCGAGAACTGCGCTTTTCTCTCTCTTCATTCTCTCTCTCTTAACCGGAATCCTCCCTTCCACCGCCGTGCCAGACACCGGCGGCACTACTACCATCGGCTTCACCTACTCCGCCGCCGTGGACAATTCTCCACCGCCTGAGCATGTCGTTACCGCACTTCAATCTCTCAATATCCCCGCCGTACGCCTCCTTAATCCGAGTCCAACTTTAATCCGAGCATTTTCCTACTCGAACATCTCCCTGCTACTCACCGTCCCAAATTACCTCGTCGGAGCCTTCGCTGCCAATCGCTCAGCTGCTACTCTATGGGTTTACAACAATGTACTTCCGTTTCATCCCCGTGCTCGGATTTCACTCATTTCAGTCGGTTCCGACGTTATCTCTTCCACTGGCGGCCCCGGAATTTCTGATCCTACCACTGCCTTAGTCCCTGCTATGCAAAACTTACACCACGCGCTTATTGATTTGGGAATCCGTACTGTTTCAGTTTCTACTACTTTCTCCTTCATCAACGTGATTACGACGGCGTTTCCTCCGTCTTCAGCTGAGTTCCAAGAGCCTGTTAACTCGCTTGTTATCAGACCTGTACTTGAGTTTTTGGAGGAAACGAATTCATCTCTGTTAATGAATGTGTATCCGTACAATGTGTATCGACTCCATGGAGAGATTCCGATTAGTTTCGCTTTGTTCCAGGAAGGTCCATTTAACTTCCGTGATGATGTTGTTACAGGTGTTCGGTATCATAATCTGTTTGATATGATGGTTGATGCTGTAATTGCTGCAATGGCGATTTCAGGCTACGAGAATGTTCCCCTGATTTTGACGGAAACAGGGTGGCCAAGTAATGATGAGCACATGAATGCAGAGGAGAGTCAGATATACGCTGAGAAATACTTACAAGGACTGATTTCGCATTTGAAATCTGGCCTTGGAACTCCACTCAGGAAGGAAGGTGCTGCTCAGGCTTACATTTACCAGCTGTTTGACGATGGGCCTGAATCGAATTCGAAGAAGAACAACTTAACCTCTGATGGTGGTGAAACAGTGCATCAGTACTGGGGAGTGATGTACCACAACCTGACCATGAAGTACAACATCAAGTTTGACAATGCTCATCAAATTTCCACAATGCTTGGTTTACTCGTTCCCTCAATCTATTTTCTATGGCTTCTTTACCATTTCTTCTTCTGTCTGTTTGGTCTGGATTGATGATTGACTAGTACTAGAGAAATCTTCATGTTAATACTAATTCATTGCCTGGAGGGTAACTTTGCCTGAACCAGATCTCTGGTTCTTTCTTAAACTACAAATTAGTCTACTGATGATTGCAAGCACAATCAAGAATAGCATGTATGATACCTAGAGATTTCTGTTGCTGTTGATTGAATTTCTGTTGTAGTATTACAAGAAAGCATACAAACAATGTAGTTGTTGTATTCTTAGTCTATCTGTTGCTGTTGGCTTAATTTCTTCTTCTGATATGATATGATCACTATTGATCCCACCATGATTACTGATTCATGCTTCCATGTTTATTGAAGAAGATAACACATACTTGCAAGAGCTTTGATCTAGTGGTAATTAGAACCGTGCACGTGATGTGTGAGTTAGGTACACGTCATGGTTCTAATCTTATCTCGGAAGTAACTTATTATGTTGATAATATTAATTGAGGATAAATGAGAAAACATGGTCTATGAAGATTCATATAGTCGAAGTTTAACTTGTTTAGAATTGAGGCATAACTATAGTCGAAAAAAAATTAAATATCCAAATGAGACATAGTTACCTGTCCTTTCAATTGTATCTTTTTTTTTAAATAAACAGTATGATGCACGAAGCATCCCGAGTTCATATAGGAATCGGTAAAGATCTAAAGGTGTAACATTGTCAGCCTACCATGATCTGATTCCACAGCTCAAATCTGTGACATATAGGTTACTCAAACAAGTTTGGACCTATAAGGTCACACAATGACGAAACCCATCGTTGTTCTGAGGCTCCCCTTGGGGTAGTATCATATTTTTGTAAGAAAAACAATCTAAATGCCCCTCTTAGTCTAAACATATAACATCATCAGAATCTGAGGAGTTTCCATCAGCAGATGATGAGTTCTTGTTCACAGTCTGCAGGTCTTGCCAAAAGCTTTCTAACTGGTCATGAGTAAACCAGTCTTCCTTCATCTATAAAACAGAAAAGATTATGAGGATTTCTTGATATGAAGATTGTTGAAGAGAACGACCATATCGTCTAAAAGTTTAAACTGTTACGAGAGGGGACACTTTTATTTATTCAATTATGTCTTCAACGCGCCCCCTCACGTGCTGGCTTGATTATTTTTTCAAGAGACAAGCACGTAGATATACTTTTTGGGTGGCGATGAGACTCAAATTCAGGACCTTTGTCTGCTCGGATACCGTGTTAAGTGTGTGAGGGAACACTTCTATTTATTTGATTATCTAAATAGTTTGACAAAGTACTCACAAAGTAAGGGTAGCCTTCTGAAATGCTAAAAATTTCTGGAGCATTCTCTAGGAAAAGGCTAATGTAGAACAAAACAAATTTACCACAGTCGGTAGCATTTCTCTGTTGCGGTACCTGAAACGTTCAAGTCGTTCTGAATGAGAGGCCATCATATTGAATGTTTACATCAAGTCGATAATTGCATAAGGTGTTCAAACACACATAGTAAGTAACATCAGAATCAAGAGTGAAAAGTATTGTGACCTGAGGAACCAATAGTGGGATTTTCTTAATCAGCTGCTTGCTCTCTGGCCTCTCTTCATTGTTGAATATGCTGGAAACAAATCTACAAATCGAACAAAACAAAGCATAAACAGCAAAATAACTAGCAAAACCAAAATCATAAGGTAGGATGTTGGTCGAGGAAAATACTTTCTTATCTCAGGTGCAAATCGCGAGGAGTCTGCTATCTGCAACGAATCCAGCAACAACAAACAGGGAGTTGTTGATTCTGACTCCAGACTTTCACCGAGATGGCAAAAGATCAAAAGACACCAATGACCCCTGATGAATGACATCTCAGTCAACAAAATACAACCTCAAATGATATGTAACTTTGGCAAAGCCAGATAACAAATCAGAAACACATACCAGAGAATGATGGGAACAAAAACATATTTTTTCGAGAATATGTCTTTGTTCTTTATCCATCTCAACACCTTAGACTCATACTGTTTGTTTCTGTATGAGGAAAACCACATGGAGTCGAGGCATGCAAACGAATTTTTCTTATCCTCTGGTAGTTTCCTCCATATATTCCTACATTATCCCAAAAAGATATGTTCAAAACAGAAACTGGAAAACATATACCCAAATAGCATAATTTAGTACACAAAATCACAACCTTACTCCAGGTAACAGTCAAAGTTAATCAAGTTTAACTTTCCCTCTGATCTGGAGTTCCTTCTTTTTGGCAGTCCACGGAAGCGTTTTCCCTCTGATCTGGAGTTCCTGCTATTTGATAGTTCACGGAACCGCTCTCCCTCTGATCTGTCGTTCCCCGTGCGTTCTCCCTCTGATTGGTCGTTCCTCATGTGTTCTCCCTCTGATATGTCGTTCCCCGCGTGTTCTCCCTCTGATATGTCGTTCCCCGTGTGTTCTCCCTCTGATCTTTCGTTCCTTGATCTGGAGTTCCTGCTTTTTGACAGTTCACGGAGCCGTTCTCCCTCTGATCTGTCGTTCCCCGTACGTTCTCCTTCTGATCTGCCGTTCCCCGTGCGTTCTCCCTCCGATCTGTCGTTCCCCATGCGTTCTCCCTCTGATATGTCATTCCCCGTGCGTTCTCCTTTTGATCTGTCGTTTCCCATGCATTCTCCATTTGATATGTCATTCCCCGTGCGTTCTCCCTCTGATCTGTCGTTCCGTCTATTTGACAGTCCACAGAGACTTTCTCCCTCTGATCTGTCATTCCTTCTATTTGACAGTTCACAGAGGCGGGAAGAACGATGTGGCTCAACAGCTGAATCAAGTGTAGAAGCTACTTGAGTGCGCTCTCCTTCTGATCTGTCATTCCTTCTATTTGACAGTTCACGGAGGCATTCTCCCTCTGATCTGTCATTCCTTCTATTTTTCCAGTTCATGGAGGCGGGAAGAACGCGGTGGTTCCACAACTGAACCAAATAATCAGTCTATATAAGTAAATGTAAAAGAAAAGAGAAAATAAC